TCCCCGCCTATGTTCTACGTTGGGCAGCCGTGAACAACTTGACCCCGCCCACAAACACGTCATTTTACTGACAACTGCTTCTCTAATCTCGGGGAGTTCAACGTGGGATTCACAAAATGCTTGCTCTTGAAAGCTGGCTCAGTACCCTGTTTATTTGGACCAGCTGGCTCCATTGAATCACAACCTATATGTATGATAAATAATAGATGTTTATATATTCTATCGAGCGTTCAAAATACTGAACTGTGGCAATGGGTGTATTGTTTCCGACACGTGCTGTATGCGGTAGACCAATCACAACAGACTGGGCTATCTGACCTATCAGAGCAGAGTAGGCTCAGGGAAAGGAGGGGTTTAGAGAGACTGAATCTTAGAATTGCTTCGAACGAATCCGTTGCGAATCGCTGGAAAATTAGGTGATATTACATGATATTACATATTTACTAAAGTGTTTTTTTTTTTTTTTTACCTTGCATGCATGTCAGAAAAGCGTGTTAAAAGCATGATTTGACTTTCACTTACAGATTCTACAATCCTGGTAACAGCAGATACAGTCAGTCCAAACAGATCCTCTCCCTTCAGGTAAACTGGGAAGAGCTTCAGAGATCCTGTCTCATTCCTTCTCTCTGCCACGGGCTCCAGAACTTTATCCCACACACCTGCACCACAACATGAGGAAATTCTCATAGTTTCCCCCTCTCACAAAACTGGAGAATTCAACACGGTAAAGATTTCTCAAACAATGACTTATTTTACACTACAAGGCTTAATGTGCAAATCCTTTTTGTAAGGAGAATCAGATAATTTTTTTTTTTAGATGTGATTCAGATATATGGTCATTGATCTATAATGCCCCAAAATAGAAATGTGGAACATCTTATTTCTATTCTCACACAGGGTTTTTTTATACACTTTCATTGTTGTTTATACACTTGTAACTAGATTGGTACCAGCTATCGCTGGGGAAAGAAAAAAAAAACAGAACTGGTAAACAGTGTAAATGCCCTTATGTGCTAATGATTACCTTTTGGTGAGGATCCAGTAAGAACCAAGTCATCGTAACCCTGCTCCATCACATGGATGATAAACTCAGGTTCGCCATCTTTCTCATCAATGGAACACACGTAATGGCAACGACAGTTGCCATGACGCATGCTCCAGTAGATCCGACTGGCTTTGTAGCCCACAGGAAAAATGGCAGACATTGAGTGGAAGGCCTGCATCTGCTGAGGGAGCAGCTGACCAATTGCATGGAATACCAAGCTGCCTACACGGAAGGTGTGTTCCCGCTCACCCCTCTGGATGATGCTGGCGATCTGACGTGCCTCGTCCCTCTGTACGTAGACCCTACGGAACACTGCAAAGCAGCGGAGTTCATGCTCGGTCCCTGCCAGCCCACCTCCTATTGAGCCAGTTCCTCTGGGTCTGTGGAGGTGGCACAGCATAGTCTTGTCTTTGAAGAACATGCACTGAGCTTTAAGAGCACAAGTAAAATGGTATGCATTAGTGCAACGCAAGCGGTGACAGCCACTCGTAGCGCCGGTTTGCTGACAGTACGCACACTGCACCGACAGGCCTCTCCTCAGGGCCAGCTCTACATTAATGAGAGCACCAGCCTGGGTCTCGTACACTTCAGTAGACCACAGGGCACAGTTAAGGTGAACCCATAAGTCCAGATCAAGGTTTAGCAGACGGGCCGGCCCATCAGTGAGCCCGTCGCCTTCTTCGTGGCAGAAGCAGCAGCGGCGCAAGTCTCTGGGCATGGGTTCAGGCCTAAGAGACATCCCCAGTTTTTTCAGTAGTTCATCAACCTCTTCCTCCTCCGGCAGGTGGTAGTTACCCTTAGGCACCATAATTTGAATGCTCCACTTTCTCCAACGCAGAGCTTTAAAGCGCTTTCCTAATGAATACCGAGGGTCGTCCCCACCATTGTGTACTGCTCGTGGCTGAGGCTTAAGTTTGACTGTGACCTTTAGAGTATCAGACTTGCTATCTCCTCTGAGTGTCTCAGAAGTAATGGAGGGGAAAGATATTATCGGAGTTGGGGGTGGAGACTGCTTATGCTGCAGCTGGGCCAAACAGTGCACGTCAAGATCTGATATATTGTTACTGTACTGATGAAGCACCTTAGTAGGATTCTGCTTGTCCTCAGAGTCAGATGGTGGAGGCAAGTTTGACTGTGAGAGCAAGAGACATCAAAGACAAAAAGGAATTTTGAGTTTGCATTCTTTGGACAATAAGACTGAAAATGGCACCAGTAGCACTTCAGTGCGACCATTTAGTGCTCTCAAAGTATCATGAAGTTTATGTGTTTTTAAACTTTTTCACATTGTTTTAAAAATAACAGTGATAAAATACTTTGTGTAGGTTCAATTTAATGAAGTTTTTAATGTTTCTCATTGGCCTCCCGATAACCATTTCAGAATTTATGGACGCTATTAACAGAGACACTCCTTGAGTAAGTAACGTGACTTGGCTTTCTAATTATAGCCATAGATTCCCACAATGTCAGTATGAAAGCACAACACAAGCTTGCTGTTGTAGTTTGATGTTGATGACATTATAACCTTATTTATTGTGGTTTCTACTTACCTTGCCATCTACCAATTTAGTCTGCATGGCCGCTGAATAGAGAACAAAGCAGTTATGGCTGCAGAAGATAAGGGTCCCCTCAGCTCCTCTGTGGCCCTGTAGAAAGAACATCTGTAAGATCAGGCTCACCCTAGGCAGAAGCTATTAAAAAAAGGGGGGAAATAGGACATGCCATTTCCCATCTACTGTCGCAAATCATCATTAGATCGAAGTGCCTCACTGGCAAGAGATCAAAGCTTGCATATGTTGCAAACCTCTGTTGATGCCATAAGGAATTAGATTTGCTTACTATTAAATGGAAAGGGAGGGGGTAAGGGTGGGAGACATCAAAGGTGTCCCATGATTTAAATGACCTGAAATGGGCTTAACTGTTTTTGAACTTGGGTATCTCACGGACTTTAACAAAACATGCTTTGGTACACACAATCCCTTGGGTAATGTCAGTTGACCCAGTGACTGCAGCAGGGTGGATTTTCACTTCCCATTAGGGAAAGGATTAGCATAATTGGAAAACTATTCTGTGCCTCCTTGAGGGACTTTGAGGGGGTTGCACATTTTTAAGTGCTCTGTGGCCCTCGGCTTCAGCCTTCTTCAGTGCTGTGTTCAGAGGATGTAGTCTAGACCCACACCAACTGACTGAGCAAACACGAAGCCCTTAGGTACTGATATTAGATCTAATGACTTAACAAGGCATCCATGAGAAACTAGAATACAAATTCTATAAATGACAGTCATATGGGTTAGGTCAGTGGTTCCCAAACTTTTTCTGCCGGGCCCGCTTTTGTAGAGAAAAATATTTTCTATATTTTTTGCTTTTGCCACGTCGCGCTGCTCGCATCTGGTGTAGACACGTTTTTTTGTGAATCTTAAGTATATTCATCATCTGCTTTATGTCCCTGGCACTGGCAGTATTTTCACAAACTTGTAACATACATGCTTAGAGCAGAACCATGCCTCCGGATAACGGAGGACTCAAGCGGGTACTGCGAGTCATGTTGAAGTAATTAAAATATGTCAAATTAATATTTTGCATTGAATTATTTACTTAACAGGCAATTTAGTGGCCTCATGATAAGCGGGAAAATTACGCAGTGTAGTCTTTATCACCCTGCAGAGGTTTCTTTTGCAAAATAATCTGCTGACTGTACACTATCCCTCAGCCTCGCCACGCCCCCCAGTTTGGGAACCACTGGGTTAGGTAATTCGAGTCTTAATCAACGTTGTGTTTTATACCTGTTTATTTATTGGCAGGCATTTAGTGGACTTTCGAACACCATTTCCAAGAACCACCACCCTGCAATGGGAGCACCACTGTGGTTTAGGCCCTGGACTACTTCCACCCATCTGATAGTCTGGTCTGACCACAACTGAACCTGGAATAAAAGAAAAATATCAACCCTACTAATCATGCAGTTGTCAGAAAACTTAAATTGAAGAGATTTCTGACAGATTTAATCCATCAAGCTTGTATGTTTTGACAATATTTGCTGCCTATTAACCCTAATGTGCTGTTACTTTCAGATGTACTTAAATTTTAATCTAAGCATGAACAAGGTGTTTTAAGCAGTATATGTATACTTCACACACAGTTTTTTTTTCTTCAAATATTCAGATCGATTAATCAAACCAAAGTTTAAAAAGGTAAGCTTAAAAGTTAGCGATGGTCAACCCCTAGACATCTTTGTTTTCCTCATTGCAAGTTGAACTTATTTCAACCAATCTGTAAAACAGTATATACCACTCGCTTTTTCAAATTAATCATCAGTGGTGTCCCACACAGCTGTGAGACCCCCCCACAAAGAATATGATGGCCCCTCCCACCAGCAGTGATGTCATGTATGACAATTTATTGTGCACCTGCTGCAACATACTGCTGAGTCCGTTTCCCCCATTTATATGACTGATTTAACTAATTCATGTGGTGAATTAGCATTGATGCATTTGATGTTATTATTGAATAACATTATATAGGCTATATAATGTGCACAGTGATTTTGATATCGCTTTTTAGTCAGATTCCCTGCAGGAATTAATATTTAGTCTATGAACGTGGAGGCAAAAGTGCCGCTGCTCCGATTTGATTGTATTTTAGCAATAGCAGGAGGATCCATCAATAATAATAAATAATACACAGACATCTGTTATAGGCCCCCGGTCTACATATTTTAACTGTCAGCTCAAAAAAAATTAATGTAGGCTAAAAACACGTCTCAGTTCAAACACTGGGATACATCAGCATCGCTAGTTGTAGAAAATAAATTATACAAGCAAAATTCATGTCTTGCAGTAAGGAAATGAACAGTATAAGAACTAGGAGAAAAACATACACAATTAAATGAATAACTCTATACTTGTATATGCAACATTTTGAGAAAAAAGTCTTTCACTGCAGCGTTAATGTTGATGTTTCGTGCACAGGCATTCTCAATACTCAGAAGAGCTAATCTGGACAGTCTTTCTTGTGACATTGTGCTCCGGATAAATGTCTTGATCACTTTCAATTTCAAGAACTATCTTTCAGCAGCAACTTGAGAGCTGTTGCAATATCGGGGAACTTGGGGAGGATAGAGTGGTGTTTGATAAATAACTGCTGCGCAATATCGGCAATGGAGCCACGCTCAATCTCCTTTATTTCGGACTTCAGGGCACTTCTGAACAATAGCAACTGCATGGCAAAGTCTGATGACAAGTCGCCATTGTACTGAACCGCTAAAGCGTTTGCCATTTGAAATAGGTCATTGTCAGAGAAGCGCAGCAGTGGACAAGGGCACAAAAACAGTTTGCATCATCAAGGTGTAGCTATACTGAATTTGGTCTTTTAATGTGTTAATGCAGTAAGCCACGTAAAGCATAATGATAATCTAAAAATGTGCTTCATGTGGTAACTTCTAAATTCATTTTATTTATTTAAACTGTTATCATTATATTACACCAACAAAACTAAATGTAGGGGTAAGAACAGGTAGAAATAGCTCTTTAACATAACTGCATGTCACCACTTTTTACAGAGGGAGGTAAACACTTAATGTAAAACTTTGCGTGTTGCATTCATATTCTAGGCTATCCTGCAGAGTTTGATCTTTTAATATCACTGCCTTAATGCATATAAGCCATGTTAAGCGTAAAAATATCCACTGCGATTACCATGCCATACAAGTACACTGCTTATATTAAGTGAAATGTGAGAGAAAATAGATTTCCCTGGTTGTTG